GAGTTAGAGAAACACCATGGATCTGCCACGGAAGATGTGATGAAACTTTGCTAGTAGGCCACGACCTCGTGGTGATGCACAGATTAATGGAGATGGGTTAAACTAAGATGTAAGAGTTAGTCAATAAGAACTTAGAGCTAATGGGCCAAACAGCGATTTAATGAATACAGTTTCTGTGTGGTTATTTTGGTTCTGGGCGGCCGGGACAAACAAGCAGCCCCCTGCAACAGGTGCCAATTTATAAACAGTATAGAGAAAAAAAATACACCAGTAATTGCAAAAAGAAAATAAAAGCAAGGTTGAATTGCAAAGGAATACTTTTATAGCAAGGAAATACAGTTGTAAAAACGAAAGAAATGGAATCAGAGTGCATCACACGATCCCGGGTTACAATGTGTTGTCATAGTTCTAAAAAAACACAGAGTGTATATTTAGTTAGAATCAAGATATAGATACAGTTTATGGGTAAGAAAAATGTATGCATAGCTAGCATAAGAGAGCTATTTCTCGCCAAAAATGGGCAAACAGAAAAGGAGAAAACAAGGTAAGAATATTTAAACAATAAACATGGAATCTATATTATCAGAAACAATTGAGAGGTCATTGTTAGGACTGTGTGGGTGGTGGGGAGGGTAACGAGAGCTTGCTGTCCTTTGTTATAATCCTTATAGAACTGAAATATTTAACTTTTACACCAGTTTTGTCTATTATTTTAATTTGAGGATAAGCTATATGCTCTAGAGATATTTGCATTGAAATAAAAATGGATATTTTTCCAATATATTATTCATTATTTCAACACATACAGATATGCTAGTTCAGACCCTCTGAATGCGGGTGACAGATGTGTGGTTGGGACAGTCTTTGTGGCCACTGGCTATGGGACCAGGAATTATCCCTAGTGCTTGAACTGGCTTTTTGGAGCCCATTCTTTTTGGAGGGATACCTTGCTCAGCCGAAATATAGAGGAGAAGGCCTTGTTCCTGCCTCAAAGTGAAGTGTCAGACTTTGTTGACTTGTATGGGTGGCTGGCCTTATTCTCACTGATGAGTGGATGAGGGGGTGGGAGTGGGGATTAAAATTAAAAATTAAATTTAAATTTAAATTAAAAATTAAAAAAACAAACACGCTAGTTCATAATACTGTCTAGAAGATATAAGTGAGGGTTAGTGTTTATAATTATTCTCTGACACATTCAAATAAAATCTTGATTCTTTTGTTAGCATTAGCATATTTTCCCTTATTATTAAGTCCAAGTGGATCACTGAAAGGAGCTATGTCAGGCCAACTCCGAGAGTTGTATTGTTGACCAGGAACACTTGGCAATGCCACAAAAGGTTTCGCGGATGCTTCTGGCATCTGGAAGGTTGACGTTCAAGACGATGCTAAGCCTACTCCAATGAATGAAGCAAACCCCAGAACAAAGATCCACCCAGCCCCAAATGTCAATAGTGTGGAGGCTGAGAAACCGAGCCCCACATCTTTGAGGATTATTTCATCAGAAGTCTATACATGAAGATGATATGCCAACATCTTCCAGGGCAGGCTTGACTCAGCTTAAATACCTCACTATAATGTTGGAAGAAGCCTGGTTGTGCAATCTACCTTTGGGAATACTGAGAATGGTAAAGTCAAGACAAAAGGTATAATAAGCGATAACAATAACAAAACAGAGTGCTTTGTACCTTAACAATCTCTTTCATCCATGACTCCCTGGGCACTTTATAGACTAGTAACCGCTCTGGTTCTCACGTCTTACCTTTTATCTAAGGACCCGAGGCACTTTCACAATGCTCTGAGCATGTAGGAAGTATCATTATCCCCATTTTATATGCAGGTAAACAGAGGCACAAAAGTTAAGCAACTTACCCAAAGCCAAGCCAGTCAACACTCCTGACTCAGAGCCGATTAATGCTAAGAGATGGGGTGATAAATTTATTTTCATAAATGTTACCCTTGTTCATTCAAGGTCTATTGTTTTCAAGTTAATATGTATTCATTTCCTCTTCTTCTTCTTCTTCTTCTTCTTCTTCTTCTTCTTCTTCTTCTTCTTCTTCTTCTTCT